CTTATTGGCTTAGAATCATCAAACTTTGTCAGTTGATGCATCTTGGGTTTTGGAGAATGTCAACCAAAAAGCAGGTCACAGTGACCTACTTTCAACATTTTATGGCTATATTTAAGTATCTTAGGTATTTATTGGCTTAGAATAATCAAACTTTGTCAGTTTTGGGTTTTCCAAGAATGTAGACCAAGAGTTAGTCCTAATTGGCTAAGAATCTTCAAACTTTGTCAGGTGATGCAACTTTGGTCTTAGGATACTTAGGGTTAGAGGCTTCGAATACAAGTGATAGGATGTACAATTTATCAGAAGAGCGATTCAAGGCCCTTGGGCCTCTTGTTTGAATATGCACCTGAATATAGCAGTAGGAGTCAAATGATGCAAAAATCGACTCTTTTAAAGCCGTTTTTCATTAATTTCGTTGTTTCTGGGTCTTCTCTCCATGAATTTTAAATGTGTTATCGGTGTATTTTTAACCGTAAAATTTATTCCAGTTGTTTAAAAAATGGAGAGACGACCCAGAAATACCAAAATCTCAACTTTTTCCATTTGTTTTCTGGTAGAAAATTGACAAAGTCCAATTGTATAAGGCTTCGGCTTTAAATAATGATTTAAATACGAGCTACGTATAGTGTCCCGCGGTAGCTACATTGGTTTGTCGCTGGATTCAAGCTATATCGAAGCAGCATTTTAGGTTCGAATACAGTGATTTTTTATTTTTATTTTTTTTTTAATGTTTTTGCTTATAATTTTTGAATTGGTACTGAAAGAAATACTCTTTGAATAAAGTTACTAATTATGTTTCATATATAAATTATTTTACATTAATTGTTTTATTTTTCAATGCGTTCACATTTTGTTCATTTATAGTGCTAACGTTCCCAAATAGAGATAAACATACATGAACTTGCAACTACAAAGTTACACCTGATGAAAAAATATTGAATATATTAAAAAAAAAACAGAAACTTCGATCGTACTGTTACATTCAATATTTTCAGTGCATTTAAAAACTGAGCACAAAAATTAGTTTGCGTTAGACTTCTATTACATTCTATTGAATGTCTCCAGGATAGATAATTTATCTTTCATGACACCTTTTAATTGAAAAACAAATTATCTACAAATCAATAAACATAAGACAGAAATCCATTCTCCTGAAGTGTATAAGATATGTATTACTACATGGTGCTTGGACATTTAAATCTGAATTGTTTCGTGTCAGTGATTCCTGCCGACTGCCCATCTAGTGCGCCCACTTTCTTTTCGGTATAATACCGTAATGTAAATGTTGCTAAAGCATTTCACAAAGAAATGTAATAAAGCGTTCTTTATCTGGAAATTATTGAAACTTCAAATTTCGTAAAGCGTTCGTTTAATACAGCCCTGCACCTTCATGCACACTTGTCAAGAAAAGAAAAACAAATCCACAAATTCAGTGTAGAAATGTTGGAAAGCAAAACCAGTCCATATTCATTGATGTGTGCAGAGTTTAAGTTTAACAAATTGCACACAATCAGTGAACCCATAAGATAAACATTAACAGAGCTCCTGCACTGGTTATAAATACTGTTTAGGTTAATAGGGTGTGTTCAAATCGTTTATATACTCATCATTTTCTTGATTTATTGATTATTGATAAATATTTTTTATTAAAACACAACGAAATTTATCTTATTCTTCAGTATTAAGGATAAATTTAAAAAGTGCAAAGATGCGTCAATCAAACACATCCCGAAAGTCGTAGTTTTAAATATCCAGATAATTTTTTGAATTATATTTCCATGTGAAAGGCTAGAGCAACAAATAAGTCATTATAATAATAAAACAATTGAAAAACTCAAAATCTGTGTCTTAGTATCTTTACACCGCACAAATATGCTTTTTTAAAAGAATGCCAACTCTAAAAGATGAAAAAAATATATCGCAAAATTATGGAAACTCTCATTTGATCATTCCAACCGTGGTAGTGTAAGATACCTGGCATACTACTAGCTTGGGCTAGTGGGTAAACCCTTTAGTTCATATTTAGTAGAGCACTGGATTGGCAAGCCAGAGATCCCGGGTTCGATCCCCAGCAGAGGCAATAAAATGTCTCTATTACATTTGGCGCCCACGTTGGGACCCGGGTGTTCTCTGGCGAGTGAAAGTGATTGCCCCCAGAACCTCACCCCACAGGTGTCGGCACTCCGAAGAGATGAGGACATCTCATTCTCTGGAAGGGGACAATGTGGTAGTGTAAGATACATGGCATCCAATCAGCTTGGGCTAGTGGATTAACCCTTTAGCTCAATCGGTAGAGCACTGGACTGGCAAGCAAGATATTCCGGGTTCGATTCCCAGCAAAGGCAATAAATTGTCTCTGTTACATTGAAAATTTGTAACCGGGTTTTCCCCAATAATGATACAAAGAAAAACTCAGTTGGTGATGTTGTTTCTTTTAATTGTGATTTGTATATCTATAGATGGTTAACAACTCTACAAAACATGTAAACATAATAAAAATTTCATAACATTGAGAAAGGTTTATATTTTATCACAAATTATTTCATTAGCATAAAATTTATATTACACTGATATTTCTATTTATCGCTTAATAATTTACAGTTAAAGAGAAATAACTCTTATTTCTCCTTATGCACATAAGCTCAAGTAAATTTATATAATTTACCAAAAATTATTACAATTCTCAAAATAAGTAATTATATTAATAAATACCAAGTTGTGGACCTAGGCTGTCCTCTAAAAAAATCGGGGTGTCACATCTAGCTCTAGTCTGTTCAAACCATATCTGACCTATATCATACAACATATTGTTGTATTTACTAAATCCTACAATATATACAATATTTACATATATAAATGTAACTTTAAAAACAGATCTTTATATTTATATTCATTTAAACCATTTACTATATGATTTTACAAATTTTCCATTAACTCATCAAATACTATATTTCATTCATACTCATTCATTCAACCAAGCAAATTGTTTGTTAAAGAAAATAAAGAACTTACGTAATCAGGTCTAATGTCCAGTCAACAATATATATCAAACTATTACTATGTTTCAGATAAGATAGCATTCTGGTTTATGGCTAGATTCAAAGTTGGTTTAAAAATAACAAAGAAAACTCACTAAGGAATTTGACCTCAATGACCTACCAATAAAAACTCTGCCAAACAAGAATAGCCAATCGACTTTGTTTGACGTAAACTGGTTCTCCTGAATAAACCTGAATGAACTTAAGAGTTCTAACTAAGAAAAGATAACTCTAAATCTTGAAAAAGTACTACCATGCAGTGTGTGAGGTAAATTTAGTAAATGTAATTATCAAATAAAGTTTAAGTTTAAATTATTATTTATTTATGTAAGTGTGTTTGTTTATTAAATTATTTCATATTTAATTTATTTACAGTTTAAAATATAACAAATAACCCATTATTACACAACAGTTTTTGAAATTCCAGTGCCAATATGTGGTAAGTAAAATCAAATTGAGACAATGGTTCAATAAATATTCATTGCTTAAAGTTGTCTGAAGCAAGGCATGTTTTCATTGCATGACTAAATCACCCTATCTCTTAAGGATAATATTACCTGGAAACAGACGTGGTCCATTCGCAGCAATTGTTTTAAGTGGAGACAGGGCACATGTCACATGACTCAAAAGACAGATTACGTCATAGTCGCTGTTGATGTACATGTTAAACATTGTTTAATTGAACAATTCTTGTGTAAATTTCTAAAATTGTTATGTTTGAACATATATTATGAAATAAAATATTGAAGATTTCTTAAAGATCTTGCTTACATGAAAAATGTAAAATTGCCAAATCCACACGTCCGTTTTTCTTTACCCTGCAGTCTAACGTCAGTAACATCATAGACGTGTTTGAATTCCTAGTGCAGCGAGGTGGAGCAAACATTAGTTACACCCAAAATGATCACTATTATTTACTAATTAACAGGTCAGTCAAAGCGTCGTGATAAATTTCTGAAGCAGATTTTTAAAATTAATGTTTATTCGTGTTTGGTGGCAGAGATTCCTTGTATTGAAATAATTTTGCGTTTTTATGTTTTCGTGTAACGTCACAATTGATTTCCCGCACTCGGAAAATTTAAACGTGAAGTGTTTTTATCATGCTTACAAGAAGGATATGGAGAAAACGAACATTACATAATATCAAAGTCCATAAAACAATACAAAAAAGAAGGAGAGCAAACACGGACCTCCAAAACATCAGACGTGGGGTCTTATTCAACAATACTCTTTGCGATACAGAGGGAAGCTTGACCCTGCGATATTTATATGTGTGCAGTTAATAATTACGACGAGGGACTGACATTCAATCGTAAATTTCGCTATATTTTTTGACAGAATCTTTTGCAACATGAGGATTCTGTCGTCGAAGCTGCCTTGAAAAAGTGCGAAAATAATTCCACTCAAATACAATGTGAAAATAAAACAAATGCTTTCAGATAATTTAAACACTATGAATATTTTGATTTATTTGAGTATAAAGTGTTATCAAACATATTTATTATTTGTGCGTAAAAATTCTCATTATGGACTTTGCAATGGACCCGTAAACATGAAGACATGAAGAATTGAAACTGCTTACTGACACTATATAGTGAGATATTTGTGAAGCGATATCTTTTAAATGACTAAAGTCAAGAAATCTCATGACAGGACCGTTTTAAAATGATAATGACATAATAAAGTATTACTGTTATGAGTAATATGAAAATACGAAAAACATTCTTTGACCGAATTATTATGCAGAATAATAGTCTGTGGTTCACGTTAAAATTTAAAACTAATATAGGCACTGGTAGATTACTCATATCTTGCTTGGATGTGACAATTGCATACATTTAATAATTACACTTTTTATTATTACCAAATAAAAGTTTAGTTTACAAAAATAGGAAACATGCTGTCAAAAAAAAAAAACCAAAAAAAAAAAAGAAAAAAAGAAACAAATATAAATCATGGAACTTATTTCTTGATATTGAAAATATTATCAAACAGTTGAACCAACTTCATTAGTTCATCATCTACTTCTTCACTCTCATCATCAGCATCAGCATCCTCCTCACTGCTTTCGTGCTTACTTTCTTCTTCATAACTGTCTTCTTCCTCATCCTCTACCTTACTTTCTTCCTCCTCCCTTATTTCTTCCTCTCCTTGGTCTTCTCCTTGGTCCTTATTATCCAATTCGTTTTCAATAGCTTCGCAGTTCTCCATTTCTTCAGGTTTCCTTATTTCTTTTTTTGTATCCTCCTCTGCAGCGTCATAATGTTCCCCTTTTCCATATGTGATGTATACAAGATTGATAAAGTCTCCACTTGCCGTATCAAGATCAGGAATTATTTCTAAAGGGCCGTCTAGGTTATCAGAGAATATCCTAATTGTTCTTTTAAATTCATTTGCAGCTGCCAACGGTAAACAATCAGCTAGTTCTGTGTTCCATATGCTGTTTTTCTCCATCTGACGAATTTGTTTTTTAAATATCTGAAATCTATTTTCCGACCGTCCAAATTCTAAAAACGATATATAATGATCCATATTATCTGAAAGATGTCTACATAAAATATTTCGCAACGCCATAGAGTCAAACCCATAACCTTGAATTTGGTGTTGTAAAGCGCGGAAAAAACAATTCCCATCTCCTTTTATTTCAACTCTTCTTAATCTAAATAGTAATAACAAATCATCTAGCCTTTGATTTATATGTCTTTCTTTGATATATGAGCCCCAGTGTGACACCCTTCTCTTTTTGAAATAAAACAGTTTTTTAACCTTATCTGGAGGTTTTATACGATTACGTACCAACATCATTGAAATTTTGTATTGTCTTTTGTCTGTAGCATAATCCAATGCCTTTTTCCCCGATACATTTTTTATTAAAGGATCTGCATTTTCGCTCAACAACATATTTACGATTGATACATGCCCATTCTTCGAAGCCTCCATCAGGGGAGTTATTCCGTTTTTGTTTTGTTTGTTTATGTCTGCCGCATTTTCCAAAAGAAAGGAAACTACCTCTTCATGCCCAGACGAAGACGCAATGCAAATGGGTGTTGTCCCACATTCTGAACATGCATTTACATCAGCGCCAAAGATCACCAATATCTTAACAATGTCAACATGTCCTTCAGAAGAGGCTACATAAAGTGCTGTGCTATTCGACATGCACTGAAAATTCTCCGGAAAAAAACTAAAGCAAGTGTATTTATCAACTTCTGCACCATGGTACAAAAGCTCAGTTACAACATCTTCGTGACCATTTCTAGCAGCCAGCCACAATGGATGCATTCCCTCATCATTCAAGAAATTTACATCACAGTTCTTGCTCATTAACATTTTTACACAATTTTTGCGACCATGTGATGATGCAGCAATCAAGCACAGATTTATAATCCCTTTTTCATGCTCAGGGTAGTTATCTATCATTGACATCTTTTGGAATAGTAATTGTACAATTTCTGTATTTCCTGTACTAGACGCCCTTATAACTGGATTTTCATTACTATTCACAAAAAAATCAATGCCCTCGGTATGCAAAAGTATTGAACATAATTGAAAGTTCATAGAATCGATTGCTGCATGTAGCACTCTTGTTCCATCTTTGTCAAAATCATTGACAAAAGCTCCATGTTCTAGAAGATATGAGACAATATGCACATGTCCTTTCCTTGCTGCGTACCACAGAGCACTTCTTTCATAAAAGTCTTTATAATTAACATCTGCCTTTGATTGTAAAAGCAGCTCTACGATACGTAGATGACCATTCTCTGATGCAATTATAAGAGGATTGTACTGATGGTTACAATTTATATCAATTGTAGTATTTGAAACTAAAACGCCCACAGTTAAAACACTTCCTGTTTTTGATGCCAAATACAAAGGTGATCTTCCTGATTTTGAATTCTTATTTATATCCGCTCCTTTATTAAGCAAAAGTAGAACAATTTTATCGTGGCCATGCAATGATGCCAAATGCAATGCTGTACTTCCTGATCGCGTACAAATATCTACATTTTGTAAATTCCTAAGCAAGATATCTACAATTTCTGTATTTCCCTTCCTTGAGGCTAGGTGCAATACATTTTCCCCCTCATTATCGGATTGTAACTGATTAGCACCACCATTAAGTAAAACCAGAATTGACTCAGTGTCCTCACAATTAACAGCATACCACAGGGCACTTCTTTTTACACCATCTAAGGCATTTATATCAGGGTTTTTTTCAAGTAATGTTTTCAACATTAAAGGCTGGCGCTTCATTGCAGCTACAATCAGTGGAGTGTAACCTTTGGAATTTTGTACATCGAAGTTGCAATTGTGATCAGCTAGAAGTTTAACACAACGAACATGTTCCATTTGACATGCTAGTAAAAGTGGCGAATCCTCATTTTTATCCACTGTGTCTGCATTTGCCCCATTTTTTAAAAGAATATTGATCACTGGTTCATTGCCAGACATGGCAGCATAATGTAAAAGCATTTTCCCGTCATTATCCTTAAAGTTAATGAGCGCCGAGTCTTGAAGAAGCAATATCAGTATTTCTGGATTAATAAAAGTTGAGGCTAAATGCAAAGAAGAAATTCCGAACACCGTTTTTGAGGTTATTTCAATTTTCCTTTCTAAAAGCATGCTTATTATTTTCTTTCCCCGTTCCATTCTGTTAACAGTACAATTCTCTTTTAATGAATACAGAACTAAATCTAAGGCGGTGTGGCCATATGCGTCTTTTGTATTCACGGACACACGAAAATCAAGTAAAAGTTTCACTATATTTGATTTCAGAAGTCCACATGCAATATGCAGAGGAGTGACACGATTATTCAAATACTCAAAGCAGTCATTTATCATCTCGTTTCCCAAAATATTTAAGACTTTTCTTGCGTGTTCAACAGAGCCATTCATGACTGTTGCAAAGAAGATTTGTTGGTCTCTCAAAAGTTGTTTACCCTCTGAAAAAAGTAAAACTCTGTCTATCATGAAATCAAACAATTCGTTGTGGTTAAAGCATTCCAAAGCAAATAAACCAGACAAACGTCTAGAGTATAAAAGCAAGTCAACTTTTAAAAACTCTGCAGTGTCACCTAAATCAATTTTTAGTTTCAGTTTTCTTTCTTCTTGCCTAAGGTTGGGCGTGAACAATTCCACAGGACGCTTTTTTCCTTGAAAGCTTTTGAGAACAGGCCTACTGACACTCAACGTTCTTTTCACTAATTCCATCATTATTCCATTTTCATTATCACCAAACTTATCCTTAAAGCATTTACCCACTACTTTTTCTAAAAGAGGCAAGAATGAATCGCAGCATCTAGAATGCAAAATCGGAGTAGAAAACCTCTGTAATAATTCAAAGAACCAATCCTCACCTAAAGGAGCTACCTCTGTTAGTTCTTTGAAAGACCTGGAAACAATTTTTTCACGTTTTTCCTTGTCATTCAAAATTGTTTCCAAATCGAAGTTTGGTAATTGCTTTTTCATCTTCTGCCTAATTTTTTTAAACTGGCTTTGGTATTTTTCCTCTAAAGAGATTTGCGATATTTCACGAAATGTTTCAAATAAACCATTATCTAGAAGGTCTTCACAAGATTCCTTTGAAAATTCTGAAGCACATTGTGCAACGGAATTGAGAACCACGTTTATATCGAATGGAGTGACTCTGGCAATGCCATCCTGAATACATGATTGTAATGAGGAAGACTCTTGTATAAAAGGGATAACAAATATCTTCAAAAACTGATCGTCAGGAAACTGAGATATTTGTTTTTTCATTTCTTCTTTACAGCGAAAATCATTTAGATGAGGAAGTGTAAAAACTTCGATGAGTTGTTTGTTCCTTACTTCGCTTAATAACCTGTTTATCAAATCTGGGATATGTTCACATTTTAAGCATGTAGCAAATTTGTCATTCTTCTTCCCTCTTTCAGTCATTATAACTTTTCTTCTTATGAAACCCAGTGGACAATATCGTAGCATCTGTTTTGGAAAAGACATTCCTAGAGCTGATGATACAACATCTATTACAAAATCATTTTGGAATGTCAATATACCCTTTTCTTTCTTAACAAAGCTTCCAACTAGCATTTCAAGATGATCTAGAATTGAAAACCGGGATTCATTTTTTGGCAATCCAGTCAATTCGCAGATGTCTTCAAAATCTTTGTTATCAAAGGAAAGACGACTCCTTTCTTCGTTTGCATCAATTTTGCAACCTCTAGCAAGCAAATAAATAAGTCCACAGTATTTCTTTTTGCAACTCATTTTTAATTCGGAAATAGTTTGTTGATAGACTGCAAATGGATTTGTGAAGAAGCTACTCCTCTGCTCTTTGAAGTCTTCATTTTTACCAAACTGATAACAAAGAAATGGAAACCTGGACTCCGTCCTCATAATCGCTAATAATTCGTCGCTGTCAAAATGTAAATCAGTATATTTACGCAAAATTCCCGTTTTTTCGTTTTCATTGAGCTTTAAAGTAGCATCATCAATAATAACTTGCTTCTGAGTAATGATAGTCGGAAGCGATGTAAGAAGAGACGTCCTACATGTGATAATCAATTTAACCTGGGGACATTCGCTACAGTCTTTGAAGTGTCGTGTTCTAAAATAGGTATGATAAAAATCCTCGCTCGGATTTTGGTCAACATTTTCACTCATTGGGTCATCTAACAAATAAAACTGCTTTGTTAAATTATATGGACATGCATATTTTGCAAAACATTGCAGAGATTCTATTGGAACAATCACCCAATCATATGTTGCGTACAGTAATGCAAAATGTCGAGCGATGAATGTTTTTCCAGATTCCATATCGCCTGCAATAACAACTATAGAACTGTTTTCAATGACGTTCTTTACCGCATTTGATGCTCTAGTTGCGCAAAAAAGCTTATCTTTTTCTCTCCAATCATCAATTTCTTCTTTGTTCTTTTGAGAAACTTCAATAAAAAAGCAAAGAAAAAAATAATTAAATTTACTAGTAAATGTATATAAACAAATTATGGAAATGAAATAAACAATAAACGTAAGCACAAGATTAACAAAAAATATTGTAACTACCAAGTAGGAATGGCAATGTATCATCAATTGGAGCGCTCAGAATAGACCCCATCATCTAAAAAGCAATAACTTCTATTAGAATGTCAGACTCTTCACAAATTATATACAAAATATTGCATGAACATGTAATTGAGTATAAAAATGAAAATGTTCACCCCGAAAAATTATTGTCAACAGCAGCACAATGCAAGATTGAAATGATTTTCGAGGGGTGAAATATTTCAGTGTATCAGTCAATCACATGCAATTACAAGAGGCCCAGGGGCCACAGCGCTCACCTGAGCACATCAGCTAGGAAAAAGCACATATCATGATTTGGACAAACTTGAATCTACACTATCTGAGGATAATTCTACATAAATATTACTAAATATGGCTTTGAAGTACTTGAGAAGAAGATTTTAAAACGTTTCCCTATATATTCCTATGAGAACTAATTTTTGGTCGGCCATTTTGGCCCCACACTACCCCCGGGGGTCATGATTTGAACAAACTTGAATCTACACTACCTGAGGATAATTTCACATGAGTTTCATTTTTCCTGTTTAAATGGCTATTGAGAAGAAAATTCTTTAAGATTTTTCCTATATACTCCTAGGTAAAGCTTTGATCAGTCATTTTGGCCCCACACTACCCCCAGGGACCGTGATTTGAACAAACTTGAATCTAATCTACACTATCTGAGGATAAATCCATATGAGTTTCATCTTTCCTGACCCAGTGGTTCTTGAGGAGAAGATTTTTGAAGATTTTTCCTATATACTCCTATGTAAAACTTTGATCAGCTATTTTGGCCCCATCCTACCCCATGGGGTCATGATTTGAACAAATTTGAATCTACACTATCTGGGGATGATTCCACATGAGTTTCATCCTTTCTGGCTCAGTGGTTCTTGAGAAGAAGATTTTTAAAGATTTTCCTATATATTCCTATGTAAAACTTTGATTGGCCATTTTTGCCCCACCCTACCACCGTGGGTCATGATTTGAACAACTTGAATCGACATTATCTGAGGATGATTCCACATGAGTTTCATCTTTCCTGGACCAGTGGTTCTTGAAGTTCTTGAGAAGATTTTTCCTTTATTTCCTTTGTAAAATTTTGATCGGCCATTTTGGCCTCACCCTACCCCTGGGGGTCATGATATGAACAAACTTGAATATACACTACCTGAGGATGATTCCACACGAGTTTCATCTTTTCTGGCCCAGTGGTTCTTGAGAAGATTTTTTTTCAAAATGGCAGTAATTTTTCTCAAATTCATAATTATCCCCCTTTGGAAAAGGGCCTGGCCCTTCATTTTAACAAACTTTAATTCCCTTTACCAAAGGATACTTTGTGACAAGTTTGGTTGAAATTGGCCCAGTGGTTCTTGAGGAGAAGATTAAAATGTGAAAAGTTTACGACGACAACGACAACAACAACGACAACGACGACAGACAACGGACAGATTTTGATCAGAAAAGCTCACTTGAGCCTTCGGCTCAGGTGAGCTTATAAAAATAATATACTGAATGCTTCATATAAATACACATAACAGGGAATCCTGAACGCAATAATGCAATAATACTTGACAACCAGTACTTTTTTTAATATCAATTATCTTTCAGCAGTGATGACTGCTGTAAGTAAGTAGAATGCTTTAACATACATACTATATGTATATATGTCGAAAATCACAATAAACTAATTTACACGAAAATAGAACACTCAGAATAAATCAAATGAGATATTGTTGAAATCAAAGTACTGAAAATACTGGGAAGCGATAAGCATTGTACAGTTTATAATTTACAAGAATTTAAATTTCCTATTGCATTGGAATAAGTACATGTACGAGGGCTGTCCCAAAAAGTTGTAGACAGGGAAAACCGTTTAGTTTTTCTTTGCTTAATTAAAGTTCTTTCCTTTATGAAAAAGGAACATTTTATGATTTTATGAACATTTTTAATATTATTATGATTTCATGATGATATCACATTTAATAAGAAAATTTAAAAAAAAAAAAATAAGGAAAGCATGTAAGTGTGCATCAGCGCACGAAAGTAAACGTAATTTACATACTTTATAACGTCATGATCTCTTTTTCTGCTTTACATGCGTCTGATAACATTCAGTATTCTTTTTAAAGTTAAAGACCACTCTTGACTATAAGATTTATTTAAATTCACTACTGTCCTTTTTTTATTTTTGTTTTTTTTTTAAAGAAGATTCAAATTTCAGTCGAACTTTATTCGAGAGGTTTCCTTACATTGTAGGCAGCAGTGAATACACGTTGTTTGACGTCGTTCGTGACCCAGATTATTCCACATTGTCTGAGTTTAACAAACAGTACCTCATACATGCTGTAACTATTTTTTCGGCATAGAGGAAAAACTCTCATTGAATCAAATGCCACTTGAAAATAACTTCTCTATCAGAATCTAGTGTGTAATATCTCTCCTGTACTCCTTTTTCCCGTTTCTGATGTATATAAATCATATCCTAAACAATTTATTACATCTCCGTGCGCCGGTTATATAATTACGCGGTTGACGAGGTCATTTTCTTCAAGCTCAATTCTAACACCATTTTGAAAATCATGACGCCAATCGTCTGTTTCTAAAGCTATTTATATAAAATTTTGACATATTATTAAGATTTTGGTTTTGATTTCACTGATTGAAATTTTAGTTCAATGTTTTAAGTAGTACTAAATAAATAAAAGTAAAAGTAGTAGTTATATACGTAAATTTTTCCGGATTTTGTTCGTGCGCCGAAAGACCATATCGGCATTCATAAAAATCGTGCTAAAATTATTGATATGAAAGATATATATTAAAGAATTCAAAATTGTAAAGAACATTGAGCATATTATGTCTATGCAACATTTGGTTAGCGTTGGTTGTATACTTAAAAAGTTATAAACATTGTCTACGACTTTTTGCGACAACCCTCGTACATGTAATATTTTGACGGTGCAAACGCGGGGAGCGAAGGCAGGTATTTAATACACATCAATTCTCCATCAGCATACGTCAGTATCGAGATCATGTGAGATTGAAATTGAAGTACAAGTAACCCTTAGAATTCAATGCGAAGTTTGACCCAGATTCAATCAGTCGCGGAATTTTATGCTATATATTTTATTTGGATTTATCCTTATTTTATTACCTTTATAGTATGTAGTACGATTCCTGTTGGACAGTGTATTAGTGGGAACATTTGCGGTAAATTTAAAAAGATATTTTAAATGTACAGTTACATATTGAATATGTTTCAAGTTGTATATTTTTATACCACGAGAGTAACATAATAGCGCTGTATCACTCCGCATTATAGTCTTTGTAATATTTATAAAAAAAAATCACCTTTCAAAAGAATTTTTGAAATATTTATCACTATAAACCCTGAAAAAATGTCCCCATTTTTCATCCAGTGAAACAGGGAGGGGAGAGTTTAAAAAAGATATATTACTCAATATTTAAACTACAAACAAGGCTAAAATTGTTGTATTGTCATGTTTATGAATCTGATTCTTTGATAAAATATTCATGTTTTAAAATGATACAATGTACATATGTAAGAGGTGCAGAGGATTGAATGTCCCAGACATCATTTAGCTATTTCAAGTGAGACACCACTATAAGTGACTGTAATTAGCGCCAGTTCATTGCGGGCAGAGTGTCTTTCTAAAATATAATTACGCATTCTTATTTATATCAGTTCTTTTTTAATAATAAGGTCGACATATCTTCAGTGATTTCTATAAAAACTTAACACTGTTTGATTAAAAATCACTTATAAGGTTTTTAACATTTTTTTTTAATTTGCACGCTAATCCGGACGTTCGTGTTTTTGACAGATTGACAGATATTTTTTTTCTCACATTAATGTTTTTTTAACAGAAAAATATTTCTTGTATTTCATGAAAATACCTAGATGGACTTTACTTCAACATAATATGTGATTCATAATGTGTGATTTTTTTTAATACGATTGATATCAAAAGGTTTTGCCGTACCTCACAATAATTTTTCCCAGTCTTTCTTTCTTCCATTCTCTTACATATATCCTCAAAGGTTTTAAGCAGCAATTGGTATTCTTCGTCGTCCAATCCAACTGAAGAGGAATGGGAAAAGCGATTTCTGAAGTCTTTTATCCTTTCAATGTCGTCTGCTAAATTAATATGGTCTTCACCAGGAACTTTATTCCAGCCTCGAGAAGGCTTTTTGATTTCACACATATTTCTGAAAAAAAAAAGTTTTAAATTTTCTTTCTGGAATTTTAATGTTAATTTGATTGCTAATCTGAGTCACTCACTAATCAGGCATTTACACTCTATATATGT